ATATATATAATATATAGTATATATATATATATAAATATTACGCTATACTAATACTTTGTCCATGATTCCTGTCGATGCTGGCAGCCAGTACTTATACCATATAGCCTCTCCCTAACGGCTGGAGGTAGTATCCCTTTTAGCGTGCTAGTAGTTCGGGAAAATCCCCATACATAAACGTGAATACCTTTAGCGTGGACGATCAGAGTACGCCATCTTAGCTCTCGACCAGTCACCGCCTACATGCGAGGGGCAGATGACCGCATAACTCGCGACTACTATATTACAATAACGCTCTCAATAATTATATAACTTAACATCACATGTCTGTGACTGCTCGAGAGGCTCCTATTAGAGCGAGATAGTAGAACCGTAAGACATAACTCCCGTAGCGACGTATCAAGAGTAGAGACCTTCAACAGTTGCACGTACGCTGCTAACAGCGTCGCCTCCTTTACGAACTCTTTGTGTAGCTTCTGACACCGTCGGCCTCATAAATCTAGGAGCTCCTGCTTATTAAATAAAATCAAATCCTAAGTCCACTAAATATTCTGTAGATCTCGTTCGTGTCTGAATGCTCGTTGTCCGACTCGTGAGTGTGTGTGGCACTCAAAGCAGTTGTGCCTGTGTGAGTCCTGATGTTGCGCGATGATCCTGTTCATCGGTTCCAAGTATCGTGTGTTGATGCCGAGCCATCCCAACTCGCATCCACATTAAACACCAGAGCCCCTCCGCAACCCTCACGTCATCGCCGTCCGTCGACATCCACAACCATTGGAAAACGTCTGAGCGTGATCTGTGTGTGTGCTAGTGCGTAGCACCTCTGGTTGATGTTCAGTCGCTGTCCCCGGGGCTTCTCGGAAGTATGCAATTAACCTTTGCGACACGTAAATTCTTCTATCTGACGACTACCTATGAAGGCCATAGATATAGTAGCTGACTAGTGTTAATACTCCTTGAACGGGTAATAAGACTTAGGGTATATCAACACCCGAACCCGCCTACTCCATTATCTCGTCCTGTCCAACCAACTGTCACCTTATCACCCACCCTAACGAAGATTAGGACGCTCGAACTAATACCTAGAATAACTACTAGCTAAATCTGTATGTCTTCAGCGTCTATATTTTACTGATGTTTAAAGATTTTATAAATAATATGTTTTCCCGTTATTTAATATCGTCACTTCACGTATTGCGATGCTTTTAATCGATATATACTATACGGTTAAATATATATTTTTTATGATAAACGAATGAATTTCTAACTATAACGTCAAGTATGTATAGACAGGCCAAACTCTGTAATTATTTTCGCTAAAGAGATTGCTCATAATACCTCATCGACTAAATTAATGAAGTGAAACAAATGCCTAAATCACACATAAACATTATTCATTATATACCCTTCGAAAAAAGGCCTCGTCATTCACTATCTCAATACATCAAACCTCATTTTTGCAAGCCTCGGTCATTAATGCAGATGAGTTTTTTCAGGCCTCCCTCCGATTATATGGCTAATGTGGTCAGTATCAATTTAGTTATCTCAAACTACATACACCTAACACACTACACTATACTATAACACCCACACATACCACATCAACACCACACACACAACACACACACACAACATTATATAATATATCATATATTATTAATATAGATCATAATATAACACTATATAACATATATATTATTAGTTTCTTATTATTTTGCGCATGAGCCATAACCACCCCTGATCTAGGCGTAATACATACTAATATACGATACAAAACATTACGAGCCCCATACTATACATAGATAGCAGGGTAGGCAATGATTAATAGGTATCTACTAAGTGTGATAAAATGCCTGATAGTAGGGTCTGTAAATTTATAACGCACTTATTATATATATAATTGAATAATATGATTATAACGCATCAATAGTGAAATAACTCACTGCGTTTATATATATATACTACACAAACAGCACAAATAACCACACACCACTTAATCACCACACACTCTGATCAACGAGCGGCTGCCGCACCCCCCCCAACCCCCGCCGATTATATAGGTGAAAAACACAAACCTCCACCTAACATATTCACAGTTCATTAGAGCTATATAGTAAGCTTATACACATATAATCATCGTGTCGTAATTAAGATCTAGGGATGTCGGTGCAGGTATAGGATAGCGCTTATGATACCTTTTAGTAGATTCATCAATGAATCAAGCTAATTACACGCCTTTTATAGGTGCAGCATTGTAATATAGAGACAGATTTTGTCGTTCTATATTCAGACATAAAGAATAACACGATGGCCCGCCTTCGTCGGCGGATTGGCGCCTTTTTCGAATGATTACACGATGCTTCAAGGTCGAAGTTGCCGTCCTCTGGAATAAACAACATTCTTGATTACCAGTAAAACCGATAATACACCCCGTCGCGTTTCAGAAGTCCAGAGTCATAGTCCGCCCGCGATGGCCGAGTGTTAGGATAAGGTGCTCGTACTCCGAGACGGATTTTCTTCGTGGAAATTGCATCACTAGCCAAAAAGAAAATAAGCTAGATTAGTGCTTCCCGCCGACGCCTCCAGTCGTAGAAGGAAAAGATTGCGCATGTACGGGCAGCGCAGAGCACGGCTTAGACCTGAAAGAAACTATTTTCAGGTGTGACCAGAGACGATGGCGGTCAGGAGGGCAGAAGAAGCAGGGTTTAAGGATGAACTAACTGAGATCTGCCTTCGATTTTTACGTGGGCCTTTTCTTGGCCAATCTCGCCCTCGATGTGAGACCGGGAGAGGTCTCAGTTCCGGCTCATGCGGCACGGCTGGCATGAGCGCAGCGCGAACTCCACCCACTGAGTCAGATTTCTGCCGGAGAGTAGAGGTTCACTGCCGCACTCTTTGAATCGGCAGGGTCTGATCGGGCGCCAAGGAAGAATCGTCTTTAAGAGATATAGACGAGAGCAAGTTCAGGGGCGCCGCAGAAAGCCATAAACGTGGGAGCCAGAGTGATGACGGCAAAGTGTATGAGAGGGGTGATTCATATCATGGCTTCAAGAACCGGCAACTGGACTAGAGCCACGCATGGTGTTTATCATTGCAGGGATATCGCGCCATCTCTTCCCATACTACCCGGTGCATTAAGTTAAAGATCGGGATACCAGCCGACACCGTCCTACATTCGCCCTCTGATTATAGGAAATACGGCGTACAGACCTTGGTTGCCCGATTGGCGGTGCGAACTCGGATGCAGTCTCCCAGTCAGCCTGAGAAGGAGATACAGAAATGACTCTCACCTAAGACGAGGACCTTGATTACCAGTTGAAAGACATCCCTACTGCAGGATCTCACAAAGCATCGTTTTACCTACCTCTTGTTAGAAAGAATGCCGGTCCCCCATACCCAAGCGCCTTCATGACCGTGAAGGCCACGATCGGAGCCCTGCCGGGACCTATACGCCCGGACCCCCCCCCAAGGCCCCGCGCCAGGAAAGCAGAAACAGCAGCCAGCGTCCAAAAGAGCGAAGGTACCGCCTCTGGGCCGCAGGAAAGAAGCACTTTCGCAGCATGTATCCTGCGAGCTCCGGTCGCAGGATATGAGGCGCATTCCTCAATCGACAACTCACTTGAGCTGCGAGCTGAATCGTTAGCATACAATAACCTGAGGATTTTGGTCATTCAATATCCCTGGTGTTGCTGAGTACATGCCCGAGATTCATCAACTGCTCTGATTATCTATCCGGTAGGCTAGGCTTCCTGCTCGGCATCTGTCGACTCACCTGTGACACGTGCCCGCTTCAGTGTGCCCCGGCAAAGGAGCAACCCTCCCTACTTAAATTAGCTTGCGTCCCGGCAGGAGGTCCAGGCCGAGGATCACACAGCGAGCGCCAGCACACAGAAAGTAGACTGCGAACTCACAGCAGGTCCTGACGCTACGTGCATGAAACATGGCACCGAGCCAACCCTGCACAGGCTCACTTTAAGTACACATCACCCAGACCAGTCTCTCCTCAGTAACCCCCTTAATAAACCAATCCCAGGATATTGTAGGGTTATCGGCTTCCGCATCTAGTTCGTGTGTCGCTCTATCCTGCCGGAATACACGTGGTGGAGGTTTTGTTTCTCGGCGGGGGTTGGGGGCGGCAGCCCCCCCAGGGGGGTCGCAGGGGCACAGCCCCTGCAATGGAAGTCATGTGAATAACTAGGATTATATTCACTGTGAGGTTAAATTATTAGGGTAATTTTCTATATTTACGTCCGGCGCTCCGACATCGTCGCCCCGCAATCGGGACCAAGTTTGTCGCTAACGGGGGTTAGCGCGCAATAAAACCTATCTATTTGCATTGTATAGAGTGAGAGGAATCAACGATACCAAATCGTCGATATCAGTCATGCGGACGTAATATAGAAAATTACCATATATATATATATATATATATATATATATATATTATATATATTAATATATATATATATATATATATATATATATATATATATATATATATATATTATATATATATATATATATAATATATATATATATACATATATACATATATAGACATATATATATATACATTATATATTATATATTATATATATATATATATGTGTGTGTGTGTGTGTGTGTGTGTGTGTGTGTGTGTGTGTGTGTATATATATATATATATATATATATATATATATATATATATATATATATATATATATATTATATATATATATATATATATATATATATATTATGTATGTATATATGTATATATGTATATATATTATATATGATATATATGTATATTATATATATATATATATATATATATATGTGTGTTGTGTGTGTGTGTGTGTGTGTGTGTGTGTGTGTGTGTGTGTGTGTGTGTGTGTGTGGAATTCATGATGAACAGATTGCAACAGGAACAACGGAGGGAAGGACAAGAAAACACTCGAATATGCCGAAGGCCTTTTCGCCAAGAGGTTGTGACATGAGCAGGTGAAATGAAAGGGGACTTTACTCGAGGGTTTATTGACGAAGGTAAATGTGTGATTGGTAATTGCTCTTCCACTTTCAATTAAATTTAGCGTGGGCTTGAGCAATCTCTTCGCG